CTGCTCCCGGCAGAACCCAGCCTGCAGGAAAAAGGAAGCCAAGGCCAGGGACAGCACGAGGATGAGGAAGGGGCAGGTCCTGGTCTCTCTCTGAATCAGGCCACTTCCTGCATCACCGCCGTTGTCACCAGACGTCAAAACAGCGCCTCTTACCCCTGCTTCCTGCATGCCAGGAGCTTTGCTAAGCACCTGTGGTGGGTCTCCTCGCCCTCTGGGCCGTGGGCAGTCCGGTCCCCAGGCCACGCTTGTGAGAGACCAGGGTGCAGAGACTCCAGGTGGTGCCCCCAGCCGCGCACTGCCTGCTGTCAGCAGAGGGGTGGACGGAGGGACCCGGTCAGCCGTCCCTGCCTTCACATCGACTCCAGGGCCCTGCGAAGAGCTCTCTCGGGGCACCACGTCTGTCGTCCTGAAACAGAAAGCAGATTATACAGCCCACCGGAACACACGATGCTGAAGATGGAAGGGGCGAGGTTTCAACAAGGAAACATCCGAGCATGATGAGGTCGCCAGAGGCGTGTACCTGCGTGCATCACCATGGAAGCCACGCACACCGATGCCGGCTGCTCACACAGCTGCGCTGACATAGTGGCCTGTCCATCTGACGAGGCTGGCAAATCCTAAGGAAGCTGTGTGTCGTCAGTGTTCCGGGAAAATCCCGTGCGTGCTCATTACAGCAGGCAGAAACACTGTGTTCATGTGAGGTGGAGCGGAGCCCCAGGTCACACCTGTTTTTCTATCCAGTCGCACTGTCCCAGGGTGCCACCTCTTTCACACTGGGGTTTGCTGTTGCCGGCACGGTGAGCACATCCCAGCGCTAAGCCCACACTCCTGCTGGGAGCCTGCCGGGCAGGCCCCTGCTGTGACGACGGGTGCTTTGAGGATCTCCAGACACCTGGGATGAGGGTTCTCAGTCGTGGCTGTCCACACCGGCACAGGCCCTGGTGTGACTGCCCAGGGCCGCTCCCTGGGCTCTGCTTCGCGGCCAGGTCTCTGTGCGGCCCCCGGCTGTCGACTTGACAAGTGCCTTCCAGAGCAGTTCCTGTTCGGAGGGTGCCAAGGTCTGCGTAAGCACAGAGCGACAGCTCTCATTGTGAGGGAGTGCAGGGTGGCTCCAGCACCAAGAGAGGCCAAATCCTACTTAAAGAAATCCGGGGAGTACAGTACTGATGGTCTACCTCCAAGAGCAGGGTGGCGCTGAATAGAAAACAGCTCCCTAGCACCTGGTTACTAAGGAAGCAGACCTACACACAGTGCGGCCGGGCTGCTTCCGGAACTCTGCTCGTCCCTCTGGACACTGGACTTGGCCCTTGAACCTCACAGGGAAACGCAGGTCCAGGGGGCGGTGTACGGGACCCTCAGGTCAGGAGGGGCAGGCCCTTCACTCTCCAGCCCTAGTTTGGAGCTGATCAGACGTGGCTGCCTGGAGGGATCCGGCCACCAGCCGGCTGAGTGGCACACAGGCCGGGAAGCTGGTTAGTGGCACCTGTGGGTTCCCAGGGCTGGGGAGGGCTGCCCTTCGTCCCTTAGACCCTGAGGGTCCAAGGGGGAGATGCAAGTCTTCAAGAGCGACTAAGGAGCAGGCTCATCTTGGTCAGCTTCTGGAAGTTGCCCAGATTTCACCACTGTCATCATCGTCATCGTCACCTTCACCCCGTGGCGGTTTCCACTCACCGAGGGCCCATCACGAGTCCTGCATTGTGCATTACCGCCTCACTAACCCTGACGACCACGCTGGGCAGTGGACTCGTCTCTGGAGTGGGAGGAGCGTCGCTGGCTTCGGGTCCCCTTGTACAGTAACGTGGAGTGAGACGTGGCCTCAGACCACGCACCATCCTGAGTCTGCAGGATTCACAGTACCAACTGAGACCACGCTTCCAGCCATTGCCTGTTTAGATTCTGTCCTCAGTTTTAAAGGAGAACTTGTAAAGCAGTGGGGGTCTTCTGGCTCGAGAAGCTTTCTGTGCCTTGTGCTGTCCCCATTGTCTTTCTAGAATGTTCGCTTTCCTGCCCCAGCCCTGCCCAGTACGGGGAATCGCACTCATTGCCACACTCCCTCACCTCAAAGGTGGTGCAGATAACGGGAATTCCGAATGCGCGCCCCAGTGTGGCTGACATCGCGAGAGTCGGCTTTGACGCCAGCTCATCGGGGATTCTTGTTCTGTTCTGTTCTCTTTGTGTTGAGTTAGAGGATTCTTGCCCAACCAGGTCAGAGATTTTCTCTGGTTTTCTTCTGGAAGTCCCACTGTATCTTACTTTGGGTCTATGATCAGTTAACGGGCGTCGTTCTTGACCGTCAGGATTCCTGTAGATCTTTCTGAACACATCTTCTGTTTGGCAGACCCAAGGGTGCAGATAGGATGGACTTTCCCACCTTGAAAAGTGGCCTCAGACTGGTTTCTCCGGAAAAGACCTCCCTCGGCGTGTCCTCCCTCTCACCAGGTTCTTTCTCCTCGGAGGCGCCCCCCCTTCTTCTCCCAGTGCCCCCCCAAATCTGGAGCAGCGCAGGATTCTGGGTTAGCTGGTGCAGTTCGCGGGCCTGTGTTTCAGAATCTCCATCTCTCCCCCACCTCCACCTAACCACACGCGAGCCCTGGCCACCGCTCACGTCTGAAGCAAGCCTCCTGCCTCAGCAAAGTGACTGCAACCCGGGCGCCAGGAGCAGGTCCCTGGCGGGAAGGGGAGGCCTGAAGAGCCAAACTCAGACGTCACTGTTCAGAGTTGGGGGAGGGGAGGCCAAGGGAAAGCCTTGTGCTCTGAGTTCCTGCAGCCCTGAGAAGCCTGGCTTGAGCAGGTAGCAGCTGGGGCTTCTGTCTGCTCACAATTCCGGCTGCAAATAACGCCAGATTTTAAAAACTTACTTTTACTTATCTGAGAGGCAGAAAGCAAGATGGGAAGGAAGAGAGAGAAACTGCCATCTGTGCTTCACTCCCCACATGTCTCCTGTGGCCAAAGCTGGGAGAAAGGAACTCACTCCTGGTCCCCTCTGTGGGTGGCAGGGACCCAACTGCCTGGGCCATCCCTGCCGCCTCCCAGGTGCACATCGGCAGGAAGCTGCAGTCAGAAGCCGGAGCTGTGGTCAAGCCCAGGCACTGCGACGTGCGACACAGGCAGCCTAACTGGGGTCTTAACCAGCAGCCGAAGCCCACCCTGCACCATGTCTGTATCCCTCTCATTCTGGAAAATGCCGCCGGCGCTTCCTGAGCTGCACGGAGCTCGCCCTGCCCACCGCGCGTGCCCTGCACCGTGTGCTCTGCAGACTCCTCAGAACCGCTCCCCTGGCAGCAGGGCCACCGCAGGCCGGCACTCAGCGGCGCTCCGCCAGGCACCGCCCCTCCAGTGATCCCAGAGGCCTCCTTCCACCCTGGGAGAGCGAGCGCTGCCATGCTCGGAGGGCCGGGAGGCAGGAGAGACGCTGAGCACGTAGCAACATGGCCCACAGCTCACACGGCCCAGTGAGGTGGGGAGGCTGTGGCGGGGTCTTGGTAAGGGATGGCTCTGGCATACCAGGAACTCAAGGACTGGGCCCGCACAGACCAGGCTAGGCCAGACGAGGCGGCCTCCTGGAGGGAGACTTCCTGGAGCTCTGTGGGGACTCACTCTGCATGGAACACCAACGGGATGTCTCCGGCAACCGGAGAGACACGCGAGGCGGCGAGGGCCACCCTGGGAGTGATGCGTGGTCCACCGGCTCACAACTGGCTTTCCTCTGCTGGTCCTCGCAGCCAGCTCCCTCGGCTTGCTGGAAGGAGCCAGGCAGGCAGCGGGGGGTTCAGGGGGCTCTGAGGGCAGCCCCTGCACTCCGTCAGCACCGTCCTGCCCTCCCTCCACAGACAGCCGTCTGGACACGTCGAACCGGGACTCAGCCCCGCGGTCGCACCACCTCCCCTGGCAGCTTATCACAGGGCTGCTCCTATGTCCTCACGCCAGGGCTCTGACCAACCTGCCCCCTGCCTGGCTGGATTTCTAGTGATGTCTCGGAAAGCTTTGGAGGTTGCCTCCCTGAGGGCCATCTTAAACCTGCTCCAAGAGTGGCAGGACAGCAGTGGCTTCCTGTTGGCCAGAACGTGGCTGCGCAGTGGTAGGGACGTGGCTGCAGGTGGGAAACCAGGCCAGATGTCCGAGAGCCAAGTGGTGAGGTGTGGCCTTGCTCCTGTGGGCAGTGAAGGCGGCGGCTCGGAAGTGAGCCCCACGCACAAGGCCTCGCCCCCTCAGTGCTGCAAGAGCTGACCAGTCTGTCCCACCGCAGTCACAGGGGTCCCTGCTGAGCATTTCATGGGCCCTCCGAAGTCCAGAAGCAGAGGGGCCCACGGGAAGCTGTCAGAGACAGCTGGGCCGCAGGGTTCAAATGGACGTAAGGGAGGCTGCTTGGTCCTCAACAGAGAGTCTGTGCTGGTCCCCCCGGTGGTGTCGACCCAAAAAGCAGGGGGAGAGGAGTCTGATTTTCACCAGGATCCAGGACCCTCCTGCTCCGCCAGCCTCTTCCGAGAGACCCTTTCTCCCCGTTCACCTTCGTCTGCCACTAGGAGGCAGCAGCGTGCCCCTTGCCCAGGGGACATGGTCCCTCTAAATAAGGATTCCATCCACACACGGATCCCCACCCCCAAAATACACACAAACCCGTGCCTTGTGCCTTGTGCCTTCCGCTTGCACCCTGATTGACCAGAAAAATGCCACCCAGAGTCTTGGCCCATCTGCCTCGAGCTCACGGCAGAAGGTTCCGGAACATTAACTCCGCCCGGCGATTTCCCCAAAGGCGCTGCCCAGGAGCCAGTGGAAGACGCCTCGGTGGGCTGGGCTGGTTTCACAGGCGGTGCCCGCCCCTCCCCCAGCAGCCCCGGGCAGGGGGCGCGTCCACCGAGGGCGCAGGCGCCTGGCTCTGCGTTGTTTCCTGGCAGCCTTGGTTCGTGGGCGCGCAAGCTTGTGTCAGAGACTGGGGGGCAACCCCTCTGCGAGGGGCGGCAGGAGCCCCAGAAAGGCGGAGGGAGGCGGCCAAGGCCGACATGCCGGTCGTCGTCTCGGGCTCTCCTGGGAAAGTCGGGGCGCCCCCTCCGAAGGCGCGGGTCCTCTGAGTCACGGAGGCCAGAGGAGGCTCAGCTGCGCCAGCCCGCTCACGCCTGGACGGGTGGGTGCACGCCCTGGAGCGGCCCCACGGAGACCGGCCACAGTGGAGGGCGGAGTTCCCACTTTCCTCCCGAGATTCGCGGAGGCCAGGCCGGTCCAAGTGCTGAGGGGCCGGCGCTGTGGACAGCGGGTAAAAGCCACTGCCTGCGCTGCCAGCATCCCATATGGGCGCCGGTTCGAGTCCTGGCTGCTCCTCTTCCAATCCCGCTCTCTGCTGTGGCCTGGGAAGGCAGTGGAAGATGGCCCAAGTCCTTGGGCCCCTGCACCCGCGTGGGAGACCCAGAAGCGGCTCCTGGCTCTGGATCGGCGCAACTCCAGCCATTGCGGCCATCTGAGGAGTGAACCAGCAGATGGAAGACCTCTCTCTCTCTCTGCCTCTCCTCTCTCTGTAATTTGGACTTTCAAATAAATAAATATATTTTTAAAAAATGTGCGCTGAGCCGGAGTTCTCACGGGGTGGGGAGCGAGCACGAGCAGGCCAGAGACTAGGGGCGGCTGCGGCGTCACGTGTGCCACGTGATGGCACATGTGTGGTGTCACGTGTGCAGTGCGAGTCACGTGTGCAGCACACGTTGCGTCTGCGTGCTGGGGCCGCGTTCCCGCCACAGCAGCAGCAAAGCCGAGTCCTTCCATCTCCACCCGGAGCGACCAGGAGGGTAAACAGCGGGGAGCGGCGTCCGCGATACTGAGAGCTCAGAGTGAGGCGACAGAGAGAGCTCAGTGAGGAGACCGAGGGCGCGGGGACACAGAGTGAGGAGACCGAGGGCGCGGGGACAGAGTGAGGTGACCGAGGGCGCGGGGACACGGAGTGAGGAGACCGAGGGCGCGGGGACACGGAGTGAGGTGACCGAGGATGAAGGGACACAGAGTGAGGAGACCGAGGGCGCGGGGACACAGAGTGAGGAGACCGAGGGCGCGGGGACACAGAGTGAGGTGACCGAGGGCGCGGGGACACAGAGTGAGGTGACCGAGGATGAAGGGACACAGAGTGAGGAGACCGAGGGCGCGGGGACACGGAGTGAGGTGACCGAGGATGAAGGGACACAGAGTGAGGAGACCGAGGGCGAGGTGACCCTCAGAGTGAGGTGACCAAGGGCTAGGCGACCCTCAGAGTGAGGAGACCGAGGGCGCGGGGACACGGAGTGAGGAGACCGAGGGCGCGGGGACACGGAGTGAGGTGACCGAGGATGAAGGGACACAGAGTGAGGAGACCGAGGGCGAGGTGACCCTCAGAGTAAGGTGACCAAGGGCTAGGCGACCCTCAGAGTGAGGAGACCGAGGGCGCGGGGACACGGAGTGAGGTGACCGAGGGCGCGGGGACACGGAGTGAGGAGACCGAGAGCGCGGGGACACGGAGTGAGGAGACCGAGGATGAAGGGACACAGAGTGAGGAGACCGAGGGCGCGGGGACACGGAGTGAGGAGACCGAGGGCGCGGGGACACAGAGTGAGGAGACCGAGGGCGCGGGGACAGAGTGAGGTGACCGAGGGCGCGGGGACACAGAGTGAGGTGACCGAGGGCGCGGGGACACGGAGTGAGGAGACCGAGGGCGCGGTGACACAGAGTGAGGTGACCGAGGGCGCGGGGACACGGAGTGAGGAGACCGAGGGCGCGGTGACACAGAGTGAGGTGACCGAGGGCGCGGGGACACGGAGTGAGGTGACCGAGGGCGCGGGGACAGAGTGAGGTGACCGAGGGCGCGGGGACACGGAGTGAGGAGACCGAGGGTGAGGGGACACAGAGTGAGGAGACCGAGGGCGCGGGGACACAGAGTGAGGTGACCGAGGGCGCGGGGACACAGAGTGAGGAGACCGAGGGCGCGGGGACACAGAGTGAGGAGACCGAGGGCGCGGGGACACGGAGTGAGGAGACCGAGGGCGCGGGGACACGGAGTGAGGAGACCGAGGGCGCGGGGACACAGAGTGAGGTGTCCGAGGGCGCGGGGACACAGAGTGAGGAGACCGAGGGCGCGGGGACAGAGTGAGGAGACCGAGGGCGCGGGGACACAGAGTGCGGTGTCCGAGGACGCGGGGACACAGAGTGAGGTGACCGAGGGCGTGGGGACAGAGTGAGGTGACCGAGGGCGCGGGGACACAGAGTGAGGAGACCGAGGGCGCGGGGACACAGAGTGAGGAGACCGAGGGCGCGGGGACACAGAGTGAGGTGACCGAGGGCGCGGGGACACAGAGTGCGGTGACCGAGGGCGCGGGGACACGGAGTGAGGAGACCGAGGGCGCGGTGACACAGAGTGAGGTGACCGAGGGCGCGGGGACACGGAGTGAGGAGACCGAGGGCGCGGGGACACGGAGTGAGGTGACCGAGGGCGCGGGGACACAGAGTGAGGAGACCGAGGGCGCGGGGACACAGAGTGAGGTGACCGAGGGCGTGGGGACAGAGTGAGGTGTCCGAGGACGCGGGGACACAGAGTGAGGTGACCGAGGGCGTGGGGACAGAGTGAGGTGTCCGAGGACGCGGGGACACAGAGTGAGGTGACCGAGGGCGTGGGGACAGAGTGAGGTGACCGAGGGCGCGGGGACACAGAGTGAGGAGACCGAGGGCGCGGGGACACAGAGTGAGGAGACCGAGGGCGCGGGGACAGAGTGAGGAGACCGAGGGCGCGGGGACACAGAGTGAGGTGTCCGAGGACGCGGGGACACAGAGTGAGGTGACCGAGGGCGTGGGGACAGAGTGAGGTGTCCGAGGACGCGGGGACACAGAGTGAGGTGACCGAGGGCGTGGGGACAGAGTGAGGTGACCGAGGGCGCGGGGACACAGAGTGAGGAGACCGAGGGCGAGGCGACCCTCAGAGTGAGGTGACCCAGGGCGTGGCGACACCGTGAGAATGTCCGAGTGAGACGAGGCCACCGAGGAGGAGCGCGGCCGTCTCCGACAGCTGGTGGCCGCCCTCACAGGACGACGCGGCGCTGGCCTCGGGGCTGTGTCGTCGCCTTCTCAGTATTTCCTGAGCACTTGTCCGTTCTCGTCAGTGAACAAAGGGGGCGAAGATCTGTTCATCACCCGGCGCTGACGGCTACAGGCGCTTCGGGAGCGCTGGCCGGCGGTGAGCGAGCTCCCGACCTGCGGCGGCCGGCAGGGCTGCCCTGTGGCTCTCCACGCCGCCATCCTGGAGAGGAGCTCTGGCCCAAGCCCTGGCCTCGCCACCTCCCGTCCAGATCCCTGCTGGTGCAGCGGTGACGCCCCGCCACCTGCCACCCACCCCGGAGCCCTGTGGAGCTCCAGGTGCCGGCGCCTGGCTTCGGCCTGGCCCGACCCTGGCTGTTGGGACCAGGGCCTCTCCCTGCACTGCTTTCACATCCGAATCCATCAAAATTAAAACAGACACTTTTCTTGTTTGTTAAGTGATGCATCAAGGATTCATAAGTTGCCTCTCTTTTTTTATAGACTTTATTTATTTATTTGAAGTGTTTGAGAGGTAGAGTTACACAGAGAGGGAAAAAGAGAGAGGTCTCCCATCCACTGGTTCGCTCCCCCAAATGGCTGCAACAGCCAGAGCTGGGTCAATCCAAAGCCAGGAGCCAGGAGCTTCCTCTGGGTCTCCCAGGGGCCTAAGGACGTGGGCCATCTTCCACTGCTTTCCCAGGCCACAGCAGAGCTGGATCGGAAGAGGAGCAGCCAGGACTTGAGTCGGTGCCCATATGGGATGCGGGCACTACAGCCCTCTCTGTAGTGTGAAGGCCCCCGGCCCCCGGCCCCCCATAGTGTGAAGGCCCCGGCCCCCGTCCCCCTATAGTGTGAAGGCCCCGGCCCCCTGCCCCCTCTGTAGTGTGAAGGCCCCGGCCCCGCCCCCCCATAGTGTGAAGGCCCCGGCCCCCCGCCCTCTCTGTAGTGTGAAGGCCCTGGCCCCGCCCCCCCCATAGTGTGAAGGCCCCGGCCCCCCGCCCCCTCTGTAGTGTGAAGGCCCCGGCCCCCCCCCGTAGTGTGAAGGCCCCGGCCCCACCCCCCCATAGTGTGAAGGCCCCGGCCCCGCCCCCTCTGTAGTGTGAAGGCCCCGGCCCCGCCCCCCCCGTAGTGTGAAGGCCCCGGCCCCCCGCCCCCTCTGTAGTGTGAAGGCCCCGGCCCCCCACCCCCTCTGTAGTGTGAAGGTCCCGGCCCCCTGCCCCCTCTGTAGTGTGAAGGCCCCGGCCCCCCCGTAGTGTGAAGGCCCCGGCCCCACCCCCCCATAGTGTGAAGGCCCTGGACCCCCGTCCCCTCTGTAGTGTGAAGGCCCTGGCCCCGCCCCCCCGTAGCGTCTGCCTCCAATCCTGCCGCTGTTTTCAGCATGTCCTTGAACTGTTTCCCTGCTGGCTGCTTCGAGTCTGACTCAGTTCCATTTCTTCCAAAACCCTTCCCAGTGTCAAGGGAGCACTTTGTTCTCTTCCCCTACAACCCACACCTTCTCCCCTGACCCCTGCCTGCCCCTTCACACACTGCATGGAGGCTTGCTGTCACCAAAACACAGGCTCTGAATGCAAAGTCCAATGGTTTTGTAAATTTGAGTAAAACCGCCTGTTTTTGTTGGCTTTTCTCACTGGGACCCTGTGGTGCCTTCTGTTTGTCCCAGGCTTGCTCCATTCGCTGGGAGCAGCGGGGTCAGCACACTTGTCCGTGTCCATTCCTCTGTCTCCCGCACTCACTGACTGCCGCTCCCCCACCCAGAGGGCCCCCACAGCGCCCCCAGCCTGGCTCCACCCCTCAGGGCTTGCTCCTTTTCAGGGAAGTGCAGCCGCCAGCGCCCATGCTTGTCACGCACCATGGTTCCCGCTTCTCGGAACAGGCTGTTGGCGGTACTTGGCTCAGATGGCGTGTTCCTGCCGCTGTTGGTGATGTAACAGTCTGCTTCATGGAGCCAAACTCAGTTAGAAACCCGCCCCACCCATGTTCTGTCCAGCAAAGAGCAAGAGGGCTGAGCAGGAGCCCACCCCAGCCCCTGCCTGCTACGTCACTGTGGGGGCGGCTGCAAGGGAGAGCCTCGCTCTAAGCAGCGTCTGGCCAGGCCCCCAGGGACCCCCACTCCCATCAGGAAGCAGCTCTGAGTCAGGACAGGCAGGGCCGTGTCGGGAGAGGAGATGTGGCGGGGTGGGGGCCCCAGGAACCCGCGGCTGAGGGCAGGTGGAGTCGGACCAGGGGCACCCAGGGCCCACGCAGGGTTCCCGACTCCACTCGCCCGTGGGTGAGTGCAGGGGTGTTTCTAGGCTCCTGGGACCGCGGGGATGCAGTTTTTGTCTCTCACATGCCGGCAGGGCAGAAGACATGGTGGCCCCGGAACACTGCCGTCTGTCCACACCAGGGGCCCAAACGACTTGGGCAGGGGAGAGAGGAGACGAGGAGGGGTCGGGTCGCGGGGTGAGGTCCCGCTGAGGAACGAGGGCCTAGGCGGACGTCTGGGGAAGCTGGCCTGCTGGGGAGGCAGGTGCCAGGTCCTGTAGGGACCGTCCCAGGACCTGCCAGCCGGCCAGTTGTGCTAAGTCCTCAAGTGTGCGGTGACTCGTTACAGAGGCAGCTGGACACTCAGGCCTGCGGTGGGTTTTAATTTTAGTCATGTATCTCGGGGTGGATTTAGTTTGTGTTTTCCTTTCCGGTAAGTGAGCACGCTGAAGGAGCCACTCCCATATTGAGACGTCTGCTCAAATCCATGGCGCGCTTCTATTTATTTATCTGAGAGGCAGAGTTAAGGGGGGAGGGGGGAGGAGAGAGAGAGAGAGAAGTCTTCTGTCCACTGGTTCACTCCCCAAAGGGCCACAGCTGCCGGGGCTGGGCCAGGCTGAAGCCAGGAGCAGGAGCTTCTTCCATGTCTCCCATGTGGGCGCAGGGTCCAAGCACTTGGACCGTCCTCCGCTGCTTTCCCAGGCTATTAGCAGAGAGCTAGATTGGATGCGGAACAACTGGGCCATGACCCAGTCGTCATGGGATGCTGGCCCCTCGGGAGGAGGTTTAACCTCTGACTACGCCACAGCGCTGACCCCGGTGCATTCTAATTGGGTTGTCTGTGTATTTTTTAGTTGTTTAAGAGTTCTTTATATGATGGGGGTCTTCAAAAAGTTCATGGAAATACAAATTATATAAAAATATGCATGGGTTTCGAATATTTTTACACGCAAATAAACTTTTAAAATTTATTTAAAAGGAAGAGAAGAAGAGAAATCTTTCATCTGCTGGTTTACTCCTCAGATACACACAGTGTTCAGGATCTAAGAGCCTGGAATTCAAACTGGGTCTCCCATGTGGGTGGCAGGGACCAAGTACTTTAGCCGTCACATGAGCAGGGAGGTGGAGTAGAGACTGGAGCGAGGACTGGAACCCTGGGTACTCTGATACGGGGTGCAGGTGTCCCCACTGTGCCAAACACCTGCTCCCAAACTCACCCTTAAATTCCACTTCCCCACAAATGTTTGGGTGTACTCTCATGTGTTGTGGCTACAAAGCCTTTGTTAGCATATAAATTGGGACTGTTTCCCCCAAGCACTTGGGTTGCCATTTAATTTCTTAATGATGTCTTTTGGAGGGCAGAAGCTTTTTCTCTAATTATTTACTTATCAATTTTTCTTTCTTACTTGAGAGGCAGAGGTAAAGAGGAAGAAAGGGAGAAAGACTGATGAGAAAAAGAGAGCAGGGCCGGCACTGTGGTGTAGAGGGTAAAACCGCCACCTGAGGTGCGGGCATCCTATATGGGCGCCGGTTTGAGTCCCGGCTGCTCCTCTTCCCATCCAGCTCTCTTCTATGGCCTGGGAAGGCAGTAGAAGATGGCCCAAGTGCTTGGGCCCCTGCTCCTGCATGGGAGACCCAGAAGCAGCTCCTGGCTCCTGGCTCCTGGCTCCTGGCTCCTGGCTCCTGGCTTCGGATCTGCACAGCTCCGGCCATTGTGGCCATTTGGGGAGTGAACCAGCAGATGGAAGACCTCTCTCTCTCTCTGCCTCTCATTCTTTCTCTGTGTAACTCTGCCTTTCAAGTAAATAAATAAATCTTTAAAAAAGAGAGAGAGAGAGAGTTCTTATCCTTTGGTTCACTCCTCAACTGCTTGCAACAGCTAAGGCTGGGATGCGCCGAAGCAGGGAGCTGGGAATTCGTTCTTGGTCTCCACGTGGACCTCCCCATTGAGCCGCACCTGCTGCATTAGCAGGAAGCGGGAGTCCAGGCACTCTGTTAGGACACAGGTGTCCCACCGGCATCCCAACCACGAGCCCAAATGCCCACTCCTTAGGTTTTAAATTTCAATAAAATCTAATGTTTCAGTGCTTATTTTTTTTTTTTGGAGGGAGGGCTTTATCTAAGAAAACTGTGCCCATTCCCCAATGGCAGAAACTTGAGTTTGTGTGTTCTTCTACAAACTCTAGTTTCAGCTTTAAATTTTACTTGCTAAAAACCTTTCTGCCAGCGCTGAGAGGCTGTGTTGGAAGCCAGAG